GTGTCAGCCTACCACCAAGCATTACTTAGCACACAGGGAACATGCTGTCTGCTCCCAGCTCATATGCAAATACCTGGGCAGAAATTGTATGGCCAGCCCGAGCAGAGGAATGGAAAAAGTACGCCTGGCCAAGCCAGCCTGTTGCGGTGATCTCAGAGTGTAAATAACAGGACTTCCCAGACCTGTGGGTTTTAATTACGAGGCTTGGGCATTCCTCACTCAAACGCTCATTTACTTTTGAGCCACCCATGACATAGACAAACTTCTATCTCTATAGCCAGCATGCCAAGCGATGTCCCTTTACTGCAACATCTAGCAGAACAGCAATGAGCACCTACAATACATGTGTCTGACCTTGGCCTGAGAATAATAACTTTGCTGCTAAAATTAAAAAATAAATTCAATTCCTTATTCTTTAGCCAGTCATTTGTCACACAGTTGCAGGCTGTGGACACCTACACATTTTCAAAGTGCTTTTCCTCATCTATTACTTTATCCACTACTTCATCAAATGCCTCCAGTAAGACTTTTTGTGTAATACACAAGGACATCACTATTAGCTAGAACAGCAGCATTTTTTCTGTTTTCTCTTATCAGCTGGGATGAAGAGACAAGCAGAACACAGACTTGTTTGAGTGTAAGCTTAGCAGGTCAGCATCTGGCAACTTTCAGCCGAGCTTGTTACTTCTGGCCACTGCTCTCCTTTGGAAGAAGTATGGACAGAGTAATTCTGGGAGAAAGTTGAAAGCACAGTCTATGTAGGATAAAAGTTTACAATTTCAGCATCTCTGCACGTATCTCCTGACTAAACAGTCTTATTAACATACAAGCAAAGCCATACATCACTAACACACTGCTGCAAAGAACTAGATCATTTACTTCAATCAACTCCATAGACAAAAGAAGTTTGGGGCTCAAGTTAAAAGACTAGAGTGATTAGAGAGCTACTCCAACAGCATTTGCTTTTGTGCATTTCCTTTTTCTATATCAATGGTTTTGACTTGGAGTTTTTATCTTCCACCAACAGATCTTGCTTTCTTTTCGTATTTTAACATCTTCTGAATGCAACTCCCCAGGAAGTTTGGCTGATACCATCCCACACATTTAGAAGTTGATCTTGGCTCTAACAATCTAGCTACCAATGTTTTTTTGGCTTTCTGCATTAGATATATTATGGTTTTAAGCTGAGGGAAGGGAGATTTAGGTTGGACGTCAGGGGGAAATTCTTTACGGAGAGAGTGGTGAGGTACTGGAACAGCTGCCCAGAGAGTTGTGGATGCCCCATCCCTGGAGGTGTTCGAGGCCAGATTGGATGGGGCCCTGGGCAGTCTGGTCTAGCATTAGGTGGAATGGTTGGTGGCCCTGCGTGTGGCAGGGGGGTTGGAGATTCATGATCCTTGAGGTCCCTTCCAACCCTGGCAATTCTGTGATTCTGTGATTCAACTGTATGTTTGTATATAATAATCCAAAGAAGTTTCAGCAAACTTTAGTGTTGCTAGAGGCTGCGTGGTGGGCTGTTCAGATATCAAGTATGCTAACTGCTTTTGTTGACACTTGGGAAATGAAATATTTACTCAGCAGAAGAGCTTTAACTATCACCTTAGCAACTTTAATGAGTTAAAAACGATGCTGTTAAGTCAACTTCCATTGGTTTTATTCTACTTTCCCTAGCTTTGAGAAGATTTCTTCTTTTTGTGTCTGGTGAAACTGCTCTTTTTGATTCAGATTGAATAAGATGGTCCTTAGTTTAAAACACTGTATACTATGGCTGTGCCTGCTGTATCAGAACCACTGTCTGCTCAGTAGCAATGGCCTTATTGTGGGGACATCCTCCTCAGTCTGGACTCTGCTTACAGTTACCTTGGCCATCTTGAAGAAGGAGCAGAGAGGCCACGGGTCAACCCCATTCCTCTCAGCACCCAGAAGCAAGGAACAGTCCTGGAATGGTTTGAGAAGTCTGGGACCTACAGAAGCACATACTGTGCTTCTTCTTGTCTGATGTGCTTCTTGATGTCTCTTCTTGTACACAAGAGCTCCAAACAGTCTCCAAGGACACAGGAGACCTCAAAAGGTTTCCTGGTATCCTTTGAGAACTACCCAGTTCTTTCTGAGTACCCAGAAAGTCCTGCAATAAAATAAGCCAGCAGTAGTACGAACACAGAACAAACTTGCTTCAAACAAACCAGCACTGTCAGTGGGGTGTACTGAGAAGTGCCACATGTGGCAATTTTGCTGAGCTGGCCTCATGTCAAGTCCCTTGTAATCACGTGGACTGTGCACACAGAGACACATACCCCTGCACTTGGTGAGCATGCTGCTGCTCTAGAATCACAGAATCACCAAGGTTGGAAAAGACCTACAAAATCATCAAGTCCAACCATCCATCTATCACCAATAGCCCTCACTAAACCATATCCCTCAACACAACATCCAAATGTTCCTTGAACACCTCCAGGGTCAGTGACTCCACCACCTCCCTGGGCAGCCCTTCCAGTGCCTGACTACCCTTTCAGAGAAGTAGCATCTCCTAACATCTAACCTGAATCTCCCACAGCCTGAACCACGGCACGATGCTGCATGTAACACCCTGAGTATGAAAGGTACTGGCAAAACTGCAAGCACAAAAAAAGAATGAAAAGGACGAACAAGAGGAAGAGCAATGTTCAAACTAGACCAGTTGAAGGCAGAAGCTGAAGATACGTCATAACTTCTTGTTAAAAGCACAGCATCAATTCAGACTGGATTTTGAAAATGGAGTCCCTATTAACATTAGTGTTGCTCATACATGAAAAACAGCTGTCAAACTGCCTTATTGCTATGTAAAGTGCACAAATAACAAACTATTTTTCTCCTCCACTGTATTGTCAAAATACCTATATAGAGCATTCCTTGCATATTTGAAAGTCAGGAACTCAATGCAGAAAATGCATTACCTTCTCAAAGCTGTAATTATGCAAAATAAAGGAATGTACGTTGGCTCACAGGCACGAAACATACTTTTTAATTCCTAATTTCAATCTATACTAGATGCTACAGCCAACACGAGCTTTCATATCACCCAGAAGAATTTAAAGGGAAAGAATTGGTAACATGGAGTCAGTAATGATCAGATTCCTGGACAAGCTCCTCATCTTGCACAAGATTGCTGAATTCTAAGGCTTGTGTTAAGATCCTTCTCATAGAAGAAAACCTGTGACATTATCTTCTGTTTCCTTGGTACAATTATCTTAGCATGTTGATGCCATCTATTAGAATAATTTCATGCATACAATCAAATTATTTATGCTTGCAAACAGCCTTTAGCATTACTATGAATGAAGAAATAAAAACGTTTGCTTCTTGTTCTCTCTCATACTATTTACTTCTTGGCAAAGGGGATCGAGGAAGAAGGAGAAAAGAGATGCAGTAGTGCTCCTTCTTCATAACCAGAACCATTCAGAAGTCCAGTACTCTATGTAGCACGTTGTATGTCTATCTGAAAACAACTTACCTTTGTCCTCTGTCAGCATAATGGTTCTCCTTCATAAGAAGCCTGCAGTCCCACCACCCCCACTAATATTAATCCAGGAACGTTTACAGTTTTGTCATGGAGAATTCTGATCAAACACAGATATTGTCAACACCAGAAGAACTGCATACTAATAAAAGCAGATTCATAGATATAGTGAAAATAATCTCTGAGAAAAGATGAATTTTAGATAAATGGTGAGGACTTTATCTAAAACTAGCTTGCCTTGGTCATTTCTACACACTGCAGCACAAGCGTTTTGTTTTCTTTGAAAACTGTGCAAGAAGAATACATTACCAAGATAACGCATCAGAAGAGTTTAACCTGCCCAAAGCTCCTTGGATAGCTGAGGTAATTTCTACTGATGTTATTTATAAGCAAGCTGAAATGCAGAAAAATGTAAGAGGTAAAGTTGAAAGCAGGCTCATGGGAATTTGTCAAATCAGCACAGAAAACCACTAGCTTAAATTCTAATGATATTGAACAGCATTCATAAAATATTATTTCATATAAAATATGTTAAATATTACACTATTACATACATTTAAATACATTTATATATCTTGAAGTATGTAAAGTATGTAAAGCACACATTCCACACTTTCCATGCACACCAAAACTGAAACTTCAGTGCAAATACACGCACTTGTGCAGGTGTTAAGAGTAACAAGTAGGAAGTTTCAAGTAGTGAACAAGTAGTGAAGACACATCAGGATGGACACAGAGAGGACTAGGTGCTTCTAGTCCATAAAAGGAATTGTGCTTTCCACAGTGGTGAAGACGAAAAGATAAGTGGGCTTCTCGTTAGTCAGCAAAGCACAAGGCTACAGTTTTAGGACTGCAGGGTCACCGGCGATGCAGATGTGCGTTCAAAAGAGCATCATTCTATCTCCTGGAAAGATCCTCACGATGGTTTGGGAACAACCAAGAGAACAGAACACAGCAGACAGCTGTCGGCACTCCTACAGAGCTGAACTCACAGTGAGGGACAACAGCAAAAAGTACAGAAGCCCAGCGTTTCCCCAGTCCCTGCTGTGCGGTGATACCTCACCTCTCCTGGCCCAGGAGCTCACCCCGACCCCGGCCTCACAGGCGGCCCTCGGCCTCCTCTCCCGAAACTTACCACAGCCAACGGACCTCTGACGCGCGGCACCCGATGCCTTCCCGCTGCCGTGCCAAAATTACGCTTAACAACAAAGAGCTGTCAACGCTCAACATTGCCACTGGCTCCGGACGTCCCAGCAGCACAGCGCGGCACTCCAGCAAGCAGCGTTCCCCCAGGCTGACACGCATCCGTCTCCACCAGCGAACGAAAAGCGGAGGCTGCTTCTGACAGGAGTTCGCACTCGGCGTCGTGAGAGAAACCGGGCTCCCTCCTCCTCCCGCCAGCTGCGACAGCTTCAGAGCCAAAACCGCCGCTACCCGCCGCCCCGGAGGAGCCCCGGGACGGGCCGAGGGTCCCGAGGCCACCCGCCCCTGCCCGGCTTCGTACCATCTGGGCCACCTTCAGCATGCCGGCGCACGAGCGGAAATAGGCGCCGTCCAGCAGCTCGGCGTCCGAGCCCGCCGAGGAGGCGGCGGCCGACGGCGGCGCGGCGGGCCCCGCGCTGCTCACCCCGGTGCGGATCACTCGCGCCCCGTGAGACATGGCTCCGTCCTGCCGCTCCGCTGCTCTGCTGCGGCCCGGACCGGGAGAAGGGGTACCGGACGGGACGGGATGGGGCGGGGCGGGGCGGGGAAGGGGGGCCGGGCGGCGGCCCACAGCTGCGGAGGGCCGGGCGGAGCGGAGCGGCGTACCTCCCCGCCGGCCGGGCGGTGCCCCGGGGCAGCGCGCGGGGCGGGGCCCGGAGGCGGCGGGAAAGCGGAGGCTGAAGTTTGTCAGCGGTGCTCCTCGAGCGAGGCGGCTCGGAGCTGGGTGGCGGCCCGCGGCATCGCCCTGCGCGGCGTGCGCGCGTGTGTGCGCGGGTAGGAGAGCGCGTCTTCTGATCCGCCGTGTCCCAAAGGCAAAAGGCTGTCCTCAGTGGGCAGCGGCAGGAGGGGTTGTAGCGATGTCGGAGTGGCTCGGCTCCGCAGCTGGAATTCAGTCATGCGGAGATACAGCTCGGCAAGGGGAGCTCTACGTTTCCTCAAGTTTAAAAATAAGCGGTTGTGCTTTCTGACAGGGCGGTAAAGCGGCCCCTGAGCTTAGCGTCTGTTGCTCCTATAGAAACATCATCCTCTCGTGTTTTGTTCTGCAGTTAGAATGCCTATCTCGTTCATATTTAATATGGAATATCTCCCTGAACAACAAAGGCTGCCGTAGGAGTGTACACAGGTAAGATCAGATGACGTCCAGCATAAGGAATTGACGTGGGTGAGATGGGGTAGGTGAGTGTAAGCAACCATAGAATCATAGAGTCCTTAGAGTCGGAAGGGGCCTTTGAAGATCACCTAGTGCAGCTCCCCTGCCTGAACAGGGACACCACAGCTGCATCAGGCTGCCCAGGGACTGATCCAGCCCGGCCTTGAAAGTCTCCCGGAATGGTTCATCCACCACATCACTGGGCAACCTGTTCCTGTGCCTCACCACCCTCACTGATTTTTTCCTTACATCTAACCTAAATCTCCCCTCTTTGAGCTTAAAGCCACTCCCCCCTTGTCCTGTCACCAAAGACCCTGTCCCCTTCTTTCCTGTAGCTTCCATTTAGATACTGAAAAGCTGCTCTCAGGTCTCCCCGCAGCCTTCTCTTCTCCGGACTGAAACAGCCCCAGCTCTCTCAGCCTGTCCTCATAGGAGAGGTGTTCTATTCCTGGGATCATTTTTGTTGCCCTTGCACTCCAACAGCTCCATGTCTCTCCAGTACTGAGGACTCCACATCTGGATGCAGTACTCCAGTTGAGGTCTCACCAGAACAGAGCAGAGGAACAGGATCACCTCCCTTGCCCTGCTGGCCACACTGTCTTTGATGCAGCCCAGGATACAGTTGGCTCTCTGGGCTGCGAGGGCACACTGTTGGTTCATGTCCAGCTTCTCATCCACCAGTACCCCCAGGTCCTTTTCAGCTGGGCTGCACTCAATCCTTTCATCCCCCAGCTTGTATTGGTAATGAGGATCACCTCATGAAGCTCACCTGGGCCCACTGCTGAAGTCTGTCTAGGTTCCTCCAAATGGCATCCTTCCCTCTGGTAGGCTGACCTAACTGATAGAATCATTAAGGTTGGAAAAGACCCCTAAGAACATCTAGTCCAACAGTCCACCTAGCAAAAGACCAAGCAGTGCGCTCTTTATTTTCAGAGAGGAAAGCTACTAGCTGCAATAAAAGGCAGTACCTCTCCCATCAAATTTTAACTCCCGTTATTAGATATCAAAGGTACAACACTGCCAAATCACGGAGAAGTAAAATGCTAGCAGCTGAGATTTTAAAACTGGTTCTCTTGTAAGCCTTATGGAGGAAGGTTCTAGTTACCTCTGTACTTCCCATTAAAAAATATGTTTTTCTTTCCCGCTGACTCAGCTGCTTTAGTTCTTAATTTCTCATGAATTTCTCATTTCAACCCAGTGCAATAGAAATGCTTTTACATTAATGCACGTAGAATAGTTGTATTTTCCACTCAAGAACACGGCCATCTTCTCTAAACCACTGGCACAAACCCAAGTCTAAAACACTTCTGAATTTCAAGTTTTGATTATTATTCTTCTGCTGTTTACTTGTATCATGGTAAATGCATTATGTACGATGATGATGACACACCAACAACTCTTTAATTAATGAAATTTGATGGCCAAAGTTAACAGCAAATATCCTTACTCTCCAGCACCTCACATGCCTCAGATTTTTCAGAGATACCTTTTGTCTGGAACACATTATTTACGACGTCAAATACTTTTATTTTGCAAGTTGCCTAACATTTTTTTTTTCTCAATTCTTCTCAATATCTCTGTGTTAAGAATTTTGCTAATGATTTCATCGATTCCTAGATGTACTTTCAAAAAAAGCTTCTTACTATCTTATGAACACAAAGAAATGTCTACAGCCAAAAATCTTCTAAAAACTGTTTTATGATAAACTACTGCTAGGTTATCTTCTTTATCAATATTAGGACATATGGAAACATGGATCATAGTTGGCAAATCAGTGTTTAAGATTAATGCACCTGGAACAAACAGATAACCTTCTGGAAGCTTTTACCTTTCATTAGGCCTGAAATAGGAGCAGCAACCTTCAGAAGTAATTCTCAGCCTTTACTGATCCCACCAACTTTAACTAGATATTCAGATTGCTTGAAAAACAGTTGGTAGCTGCAGAAGAGATGAGAAATAAGATGAGAAATAGCATACAAGGTAAGATGGTTATCCTTCTTAAGAACAAGGCAGATTAAGTTATGATTTGTAAAACAAAGAAAGCCAAAGATAAAATACATTCCCACCTAGTACTTTTAAAAATCCAGCAGAATTAAAAATTTAATTCCCAGATTTGTCTTTGGGAGACATTCTGCATGTCTTCCCTTGAGAATTAGGGCTGAAGACTCAGAGAGGACGCATTTTGCCAAAAGCATTCCCTAACCTACAACTGTATGTTTTTGTCTTTCATTCTTGGGTTTACTCTAACATGGAGTGACTGTTTTCTAGCACACAGTTTACACAATAGTTTTAGGTATACTGGATAAAACACATTGCTCTCTCTGAGCTCATCTCTGTCTTTTTACCTCTATCCACAAGTGTTTTCTGGGCTATGATGTTAGACCAGCCCATCACAGTTATCATGAAACATTTATGCAAACACAGTCATGTTCTTTAAACGTAGATATGTATATCAAATATCATTCGAGAAAGATTTTTTCTTACTACTCAAGCATTTTCACAGATGGGAAATCACTCATGAGATTTTAATTTTGGCTGTTTCTAGTCACATTTACCCAGTTGACATTTGTATCATTTTTATGCCTTTGATTCTTTTCCAGCAATGGAAAATAGCATATGGGACTTTAATGACACATTTTATCTGTGTAGATAAAATGCATAGTTGGTAGCCCTTCTTCATTCTCAGAACTGGATGATATTAGTAAGCAGGAGACAGCTTGACCTTTGTTGTACAGACCAGATGCAATCTGCAGACAAATATAGGTATTTAAATAATATCTTGGCTTCCCTTGTATTGAAATCCTGTGACTCTGACAGATAATCAAGAACAAAACCAGGAGATTGAGAACAGAATTAGCTGACTGCTGATAAACCTTCCTAACTGCAGGGTGTGCACGTAAGGAAGCACACAACATTTATTCACAGGGAAAAATAAAGATTTTCAAGCAGTGAGATTTCTCTACTACCAAATATGTTAGTGCAACAAAGTTTTTGAAGACTGGAAAAGTCCAAATCCCCTTAGTGCAAAAATAAGGGATTTACTAGCAGTCTTAAATGAGAAAACTTTAAATAATCACAAAATAATCAAAATCCTGCTCTTTACATAATTCCAGAACAGATTCCCTAGGTAATTTTTATTTGAAAGTCATTTGCAAAGGTATTTGTCTTGGAAGTCATAATCTTCCATCATACTTCTGCATAACTCAAAGATATTTAAATATGAGTCAAATTAAAAACTTGATTTGTTAAACTAACAACTCACAAATGAGGCTGGTAAAAAGGGAATGAGTGAGAAAATTATTTGTTTCTACTGCAATGGTCTTAACATTTCTTCTATAGATTTAATCTTTATGTCATTTGATAGCATTTTGAGGCCTACATTTTCAATATTACAAACTAACAAACTAGCCTCAGTTCTCAGAGAAACAAGAATTATTACCTTTAGTACATATTTTGTGATATTCTCTGTAGGTTAAACATTGAACATTAAGGGTCTGTTGTCTAGAATTACGCCTTGGAGTCTGCTAGATTTGAGAAACCTGTTAAGATAATGTGCTTCATACATACAACTTCTTTAGCAAACTTTAAGTCTATGTTGTTAATAGGTTTCAAAGCCAACCTCACAATTAAAATCGGCTACTGGAATATGTGAGCCGACACAATCATCAGAGTTCTTAATAGTACATATGTGCCTCTGAAAAACAGACAAAATAAGCAAACCCCTACTCCCAGTTTACAAAACATTCAAAGTTGGGTCAATTATTTATTTATCTTTAAAGCTTTTTGGTATTTTTCACAAGGTCACTTTGTATACATATAATATCAATCTTAGTTTTGATTTGTAGCATTCGTTATCAAAAGTACACAGGTGACATTTAAAAAGTTAAATTTACAAAACTGGCACATAATCTGAGTGAAGTTTATTAAAGGTTTAGTTATAACATCTATACAATGTCTAGAAAAACACCATGTTAACTTTAAAAGCAGTATGAAATTTTATTATACAGTACAAAGTCAGTGTTAGATGTCACTAAATATGATATCATATTATAAATATTCATTGTATTCTGAGTTTAAATATATTTGTTCAATTACAACAGAAATGCTCCAGAAGACCTAAAATCCTTGTTCCAAGCTTCCATCAAAAAGAGTATAGTGCTCAAGACATTTTATTCTACAGAATTCATTTTAACACAATTTTTACTGCAAAGTTCTTGATCGCCAAGATATAAAGCTAAAATATGTATTTCCAGCATAGCAGGAGGTAACCACAAAGGCAAAGAACTGTGGAGAGAAGAGTAAAATACATGTCAGAAAAATATTTGAGAGCATTCTCATTCATTTGAAAAATTAATGATGGTATTTGGATAAAAGTAGCAGAATTACTAAAACGGTGGTCTCTGGCCTTCTTGTACTTGGGCTGCCATCGCAGTCAACATCGTTTAAATAAGCTTTGTGTAGGAATATGGGCCTAGAAGCAGCTAAAACATAGACTATTTTAACACTTATCTCCACATTATATTGCCTCAGAAGGGATCCTACAGACTGGATGCCCACCAACCGTATACTTGCAGCTTTTAACATCAGTTGTTGGTAAGACCAAGGGATGCTGTGAGCTCAAACTAATGCCCCCACAGTGCTGCTGTGTGCCAGGAGCTGCCTAAAAGCCACCTGTGCCTCAGTGTGGCACACTGCGCATCCAGATAGGTCATTTAGAGCAAACCTAAATTCAAAATTCAGGCCCAGGCATATTCCCAAATGATAGTAATTCCAGTGGTCCTCTACTAATGAATTTATTTCTCAGTGCAGAAAGTGGAAGCAACCACATTAAGATATTACTACATTATCAGAAAGTGACTGCAGAAGAAGCATTCTATAGCAGGCTAGATTTATTTTATATTTGAAGATTTTTAGGAACTACAGAATATCAGTGGTGTTGTTTCTGAATTCCTCACTGCATATGCACCCAGAAGCAACAGAACAGCTGTGAACTATTTCAGTTATACTGATAAAGTTCAATTCAATGCCAGTGGTTAAGTTCCTGCTAATCACTGCATGTTGTTCAAAATAGCTGATGATAAGACCAGAATGTTTTCTGTTGGTAACTGAACCAAATAAAGCTGACATTGCAAACAGGGCAAACACTGCTTTTCTTGGAGGTTGGCAGTGGTAGGGACAAGAGGGAACAAAAACAAGTTACAATAAGGGAAATTTCAGTTTGATATTAGCAAAAAAAAAAAAAAAAAATCACTGTGAGAGAAATCAAATATGGCAATATGGCCTTGAGGCATTTTGGAATATCCATCCTCAGAAACGTTCAAAACTCAAGCAGACGAGGCCCTGAGCAACCTGGTGCAAGCTAACCCTGTGCTGGGGGAGGAGAGGTTGGACCAGATAATCTCCAGAGGTCCCTTCCAGCCTAAATATATTTTGTGATTCTAGTAACACTTCTTGCTTCTGTCACTGGCCTAGGTAGGCACTGCAGTAGAGCAAGGCACTACTAGGCATATATACAAGGCAGTAAATCTGAGCCTTTTGGGTGAGTCTTATCTCATGTAAATTTAATCTGTGGCACCAAAACTTGTAGATGATGATATAACAACTGGTAACAATAGAAAATTCTAACATTCTTCTTACCAAAAGAATGTTATTTCTTAGAAACTAAAAGATCCATCCAAAATCTTCCCAGTAGAGAACAAGTATTGGAGATGGATGATTTGCTAAATTCTCACAAACATATATCCACAAAACACTTAATGTGTACAGAGAGCACTATTAAACTATATTTAATAGTTTATTTAGTGCATTAGATGAACATTATTAAGGGGTATTAGAAGAGATTCCAAATATCCCATGAGCATTGATGTATTTTGCATAAAGCATGAATCAGCATGGAAGATAATGTAGCAGCAAGCAAGCTCCTGTCAACACTTTTGGCTGAGAAGCAGATCAATAATTACAAACTGCCAAGAGGTGAAGATCCTGAACACCACTGAAGTGACAGGGACATAGTTACATCATTCCCAAGATAAAAACAGAGCAGGTGTTCAGGTCTCTGTGTTCATCACTGTGTAAAATAAGCTTCAGGCAGAAGACAGAATTTGTGAATAGTCCAGAAAGGACAATTGCAGATGCATTAACCATCAGCAAAGTAGCTGTAATTCAGAGTTACTCCAATAAAATTGAATTTGACTGCTGTTACCAAAATGTTCAAAGTTCTTCTGCAACTCCTTTAACTTAGCTAGAGAATATCTTCACCTAATCTGGTCCTTATAAAATGATTTTTTTTTTTTTTTTTACCCACTTTGAATGCTTTGGATTTCCAAATCTAAGTAGAAGGTCAGTAATGTCAAAACCAGTTGGAAGTTACATGATTTTTCAAGTGTTGCCCAAGATTATCAAAAGGTGAGCTTGGAAGTCACTGTAGAAATGGTGGCACCGTTTCAGGGCCTTCCCACAGTGCCCTGTGCATAGCTCAGCCAACAAAAAGTTGGCACTTTAACCACATCAGTGCAAAGTCACCTGGGTTAGTTTAAGCTGCTTTGGAAGTGGTATGAGTGCACTAAAGTAACTTTGTGTTCACCCAATTTGTTCACTTTGTGGTAGAGGCCATAACTTCTGCTAGAAAGCTAGTAATGAATGGGGGCAGGGAGGGGAAACAATCTGATCTTAAAACCATTACAGCCTTTGCAGATGTGACTGTCACCTCCTGGTTGAATTCCTAGTTGCCTTCAAAACCTATAAACTAAATTACAGTTATCAATAGATTTTGTGTGTGAGTCCCTACTCCAATCTGCAGCTTTTTGAAATCCAGAACGTGTGCATTTCAACCCTCACATCCAGAGAGGCGTTGTTTGATATCACTTTGTTAGACATACAATTGTGACTGAAACAAAAAATGAACTCACTGAAGAAGCTGCCCAACTGTTGTAATTGTGACTGTCCAGTTCTTTGGTGACTGAAGATGCATCTACAATGGCGGCAATGAGGTACAAAATGAAGGCACTCCCATTAAAACACAGACCCTGTTGAAAAATAAAATAAAATTAGCAATTTGTATGCAAAAGCATTTGTTGCCATTTTGTGTTCCAACATTACAAAAATCTCCTCTGAAACATAATGTGCACATCCAATGTGCACACAAAATGTGATTCTTGATGATTTTACCCTCTTTTAACTTTCTCTCTGTAAGATTAGAATTTAATTGCTTATTTTTAATATTCATGAACATTAGAACATGTTTTGGACCAATTGCTCTTTCCATCAAACTAAATACTGAAAAGTTTAATTTAAAGCCAGGTACTCTGATTTTCCAAAATTGAAAACAGGTACACAGATTACTTATTGCAAGCTAAATATTAGGCAGAAAGAATATGAGACTACATGAAAGACAAACAGACAAACAAACAAAACCCAACTCCCCATCTGCAATATTTATGGAGCTTCCAAAACTTTGTCTTCATTTTTGAAGGAAATAAAGTGGGTACAATTTTTTTGTTGAGCATTCTTTCACCATTGAGTAATTTTCCCTTCTGCCTGTTTCTGAGAGAAGAAAAAACAAACAAACCACAACATAAAACCAAGGAGGAGAACACTCTGAATGGACTACATGGGTCATTGAAAGACCCATCCGTGGCAGACACTGCATTTTTTCTTCCCAGGAGAAGAGTTAAGGTCTCAGGGAATCTCTGCTGATTAATATGAAAGAAGCAAAGCAGATTGACCTGATCTTACATAAAACTACAGAGAATAATCAAGGACAGTTTATTCTGGTTTTGCATGTGAGAGACAACAGGAGGACGAACATCTGAGAAAAGGTAAACAAAAAGGTATGCATTTATTTTTCATTAAGTAAGTAACTTTAATACTTTGACATTAATTACTCATTGCTTGCTCGTGGCTATAGGAAATTCATTTGTGTTTTAAAAAAGTCCCCCTAAAACTCCCCCTGCTGCTTGTCTAAGGCATATGAATTTGGCCACAAAATACAGTTGCAGTTCAGATGTCAGTGGAATACCCATGATACTCTTTGTACCTAGTTACAATCACAGGAATTAGTAACTGTGAATTTAGACAAAGCCCTAGTGTTGTACATGGTCCCCTCCCTTCAGCTTCTGGCCCTCTGTTTGCACCTCACAGTATCACACACATATCATAAGCCTTAACTCTGTTGTCCCAGTTGTCTCTAAATGATGCAGACTGGTGCATCTCCAACTTATTAATTTCCATGGTGTGACCCAGTAGATGCTGGGGATGTACATCAATTGTTCATGACTAAATTCACCAATAATGAATTCTGTCACAATCTAAAAAAAGGAGAGAAATTCAGAAGGCACCCGTGTCTGTCTCAGCAACTCTCTCAGCAGATTGCAGTGATTGGTATGGGAGCTCCTCACCTCCTTTTAGTTTGATTCAGAAAGACCTTAATTCAGACTCAGTGGAGCCTGGCCCATGCCCCAGTTCTAATGACAGACAGGGTTCAAACCTTCCTGAAGGGAAGCCATTCCTCAGAAACTTGCTTTCTCAGCTACAAGCCCTTCCAGAGAACAGCATGCTGTGCTGTCATCTGTTATCCACTCAGTTTATGAGAGGTCTGACCAAATTCATGCAAGCTGAAGAGAATTCACATTCTCCTGTGATTCTAAGTCCTTGCAGCTTCAGGACATTTGGAAAAGATCCACTTACCTACACTTCTGCAGAGAACACAGGGCAGTGCCTCAGCACACGGCTGAAGCCCAGCACTGGGGACTTGAGGTTTTATTCACACACTTGTGAGTGGCTTTTATCTCGCCTGTAGCAGCTCATCTAATAAAACATAGTATCTCCTTGTACAAATCTCACCTCTTCTATCTAGGCATTACAGTAATAAAATATCAAACAGTCAATTTTAGGACAGGGTGCCAAAAACTGGAAAGCACAACTTCTGCAATGCACCGATTTTCCAACTTCAAACTTGATTGCCTAGAATATTTGTTGTTGTTATTTCTAAATTTCCTGTTCCAAAAAGACTCAATTACCTTGGAAAGCTACAAATCCCTGCAATATCTTGTCATGAAGAAAAAAAAGCACATAATTTTTTAGAAGTGCTGCTCTGGGAAATAACACTGCTAGGGAAGATGGAATGCACTGCAAGCTGATTGGGCCGTTTACTGCCAATATATTACTCAAACCAAATGGTTCATGCTAAATTACCATCTGCTTCTTAAATTCAAATCTACCCGATTTTAAAAGCTTCCATTGATTGTTTTAGCAAAGAACTGGCCCTATTAAGGAGAGTCACTTCTGAAGCACATACTTTGGGTTAATTTGCAGTAAAGTAACTGCATCTTAAGCAATTTGGTAATGTGCTTAACCTGCAAAAACCCAGTTTATGACAGAGTAGTCCAGATGTAATTTTGGATACTGCACACAATAGACACAGTTTTAGCTAACTGTTGCCTAAGGACGCAGAGCAATAATTAGCAAAGACTGATACTATGGAGAATGGGGAGAAGGTGGCTGTAAACTCTCTCAAAAGGTGTGTCATTCAAAAGGTGTGTGTCATGCCCTCCTCAATGAAAACATTAAAAACATCTCTCTGAACACCTTGGTCAGCCACGAGTGGCAGAGGTTCAATTCACAGGCTGCTCCCAATAGCTGTTTTGATACCTCAAGGCAAAAGAAGCTGAAATGCAAGCATCTTTAGTTTGTTTTGCATTTTCTTTTCAAATTATCTTGTACCACGGAGGGAGAGTACCTTTTGGACCTACATTTGGGTGATCTTATCTACAATACATTTGGAACTCAGAGCAAGAAATATACTCACTTTCAAGCAGAAATTAATCAAGCTTGTCTGCCACACAAATCAGGGGCAACTCATTTACTTGCAGCTGTTGCCTGATAATAGTGTTAAACTGATAAAAGAAAGGTAATAACTAAAATTGTAACAAAATGGATACAAAGATGTTTTCCTTTTGAATGTACTTTACTTACATTTAATGGAATTGGAGAAAAAAAAAAGCAACACACACTTCTAACCATACCCAGACACGTTACTGCTGTAATTGAAATAATCCAACATTTCTATAGCGTTGTTATAGCCGTAAAGGTAATTGCTGGTTATGAAACTTGAAAACAGAGGAGCTATCTGAACATAATCCTCGTTGTTGTTATTAGTAATTGCTATAGCTAGCTATTTATTACAGCAACAAAAGGGAAGGTGAAAAGTGTATTCAATTTTAGTCACATACACTGTTTGCAACACAGAAGTCAAATATGTTTTATCATAACAATGCAGAACTCTCACTAATAACCCTTAGCTAGTAGAAAAAGAGAGAAAAGCAGTATTTCACTGTATCAAACAAATGCAAAATCAAATTTATGTTAATTCCTGTATGGGTCACAAATAGCCAGTTGGCTTACATGATGATGACATTTAGAATCTATTCTCTTGAAAATCAGCATATTATGAAAATCATGCAAAAATATAATGCTGACTTGTATAACTAGCAGGATTTCTTCAAACCACAAAACTTAGACCTGAATTTCAAATGCCTGTGAATTTTTTCTCTAATTACATTAGTTGTTTACCTAATTTTCATTTAGTCTTGAGCTAAAAGCAAAGGATTTCATGGCAGGCATTTTACATACATGTAACACTAATAATTTGCAGCACCATTTTCACTCTAGGCTGTACATGGCTAGTGAGACTGCTGCTACCTCTCTGAGCAACTTTTTATTTTCATTTGGCAGAGGAAGACTCATGCTTTAAGATCCATGGTACCATTTCCAACTCATGGTGTTGAGTCCTGTAGGGATTTCTACTGTTTAAGCCATACAACTAGGACTGTTAGCTCAGACGCAGTGACAGATTCATTCTTCATGGGATGTAATCACTAAAGGGTGAAAAATGGGCCACTGTGCATAAATATGACTCACACACACATTATTAAAAATCAAGTCACTAAATCGATCGATGAACAAAACATCACAAGACAAGTATTTTAAAAGGGTAGTAGTTTCTGAGTAGTATGTGAAGGTTAAACACTGCAGGGATTCAGAAACAGAAATTAGGGGAAAAAAAACTGCAAAAAGCACCAGTACAATTGGGTAACTGCAGCTGTAGAATGCATCAGTATTTTATTTTCTTCACAACCCAGCAAATCCAAAACAACAATGATTAGATGTATTTACCACTGTGGTCCATGGCACCTGGGGGATCCTGGTGTAGGTCATGGTCATGTAGATGATCAGAAAGAAGACAGTGAGGACCCAGTAAAACACAGCCACAAACATCACCCAGCCAAAGGCTGGATATAGAAAGTATTCTGTTCCAGCGATCAGAGTCCACACCAGCAGCCCTAATATCTGCAAAATTATGGAGAAGAAAGAAATCAGTTACACAGTCTTAGACTTCTCACATTTGTTCTAGGTCAAAGAACAACATCACTGTCAACAACATAATCATCTCATGAGCTGAGCTGGGGTGCTATACTGATCTAACTATATGTAATAGTAATCTAACAAAACTATACGTAATACTAATCTAACAAAAAGGAAGAACAAATAAAACTGGTTTTTGCTGCAGCAGGAGGTTGCAAAAAGAAGGGCAGAACGATGCATCTCAGTCTTGATTTAGCCCACCTTTCTCTATTATGAGACCATACCTGTGGTGGTTTTACAGCTCGATCTCAAAAGTGTTGCTCATTTTGAATAATATTTAAAAAATAAACAACCTGAGAAAACATCATAGATAATTGTGTTTGAATTCTACCCCACTAGCTTACACGCATTACTCTGCAGTCAGCAAAAAGCCTGTGAAGGACTGCCAGGACCTTCAGGTCCCACTTGCTACAATCATGGGTAACCAAGCAGTTGAGGCCTAGGTCAAAATGGCCCATAAAACAGAAGCTCTGTGGAGTGTCAAGCACTACAGATGTAAAACAAGTCTCAGGACCTTATTAAAGAGGTAGCAGTACAATATCAACAGCCACCACTGTAATGCACTGCTGGACCAGGTTGGGTATATTATCATATGCCACAGTTCTTGAAGCATTTCTTGAGTGACCAGCCATAAGAAGCAGAATACACACTCCGGCAAAGTCTATGAGCAAATCTTAATCCATCAGTATGGGGAAAAGAACCTTTCCTCTTGATCCTGAACCTGGCAATCTGTTCACATCTGACTCAAACAAAATACATAAGCCAGGGATTTTAACATGCAATCTTCTGTTTCCTATAGGGTTAGCTGATCTCCAGAGCATTAAGGGAGATGCAAACAAATCAGAAGCCAAATGGATGACAAAGAGATGTGCCAAGGACAGAAAAGCTGTGTGTATTACAAGATCTCCAGAAATTATTAAATCTCAATTTTAAAAATAAATTTTTATTTTAAACCTTTCATATATTTATATATTTAAAAGCAGTTTACTGGAATCTGTTTTGGGAACTAAAATCCTTTTGTTTGAAATAAGGCTCACCTCTTCTTGCTATCTGGACTAATGTGAAATTGCCTAGCAGAGATAAGTGGGAGGAAGACAAAAAAAAAATTAAAGAAAACAGCACTTATTAAACAGACAACATCCATAGCAAACCAGACTAGGAAATCTTCTATGTTAATATCTTGTCTCTGGCAGTGGTTAGTAACAGATGCCTGAAAAAATACATAAGAATAGATGACACAGCAGTAGCATTTCCTTGGTCTGCCTCCCAGGCTTTCAGGAACCTGTTGTGGAGAGCCTTCCTGAGCCAAAGTGATATCCTTGTAGCCCTTGGGAGGGCAGTTCTGCCATAGCTCCATCTGCATCAGTGCTGGCCCCATTCCCATGCAACTTGTTGGCCGTGATACCATTTACTCTGCAATTGCAGAATTCTGCATGTATTCATAACGATACATTTCTAAACATTACAAGATAAAACTATCCTGTTAAACAAGAGTTTACTACAATCTGTCCTGCTAACTTTTAGCAGCTGATACCTATTTACTTTGTCTTCCGTTCACCTTCCAAATTGCCAGACAAACAAAACTCAGCCTTCAATTTGTTGTTTTGGGCATTCACAGTATATTCCCATATAACTTTCCTATTTTCATCTACTTCCACACCATGCACTCCTAAAAGAACCACAAAACTGTACAATTTTTTTTTTTTTTTGTCTTTTTAATAGAAAAAGCACAAAATGGTATTTTAAGCATTTCTTTCACTATTTTTTTCCAGCTTAGCAATATCTAGAGCACAAGTTTTATGGGGAGCAGCTGAGGAAGCTGGGATCATTCAGTCTGGAGAAGAGGAGGCTCAGGGGAGACCTGATCGCTTTCTACAGCTGCCTGAAGGAAGGCTGTGCTGAGGTGGGGGTCGGCCTCTTCTCCCACATAACAGTGATGGGATGAGAGGGAATGGCCGCAAGTTGCACCAGGGGAGGTTCAGGTTGAATATTAGGAAACATTTCTTCTGAGAAAGAGCAGTGAGGCAGTGGCACTGGCTGCCCAGGGAGGTGGTGCAGTCACCGTCCTTGGAGGTGCTGAAGAACCGTGTGGATGTGGCACTGAGGGACGTGGTTTGGTGGGTGGTGTTGGTGGTAGATAGATAGTTGGACTGGATGATCTTGGAGATCTTTTCCAATGTTATGATTCTATGACTCCATGATTTGATGCACTAGAGCTGGATTGGGCTGGGCTAACACTTCCCAATTCATGCCAGATACCAGGTGAGGGCAGCATTGCCTCACAAGAACAGTTCTGCTGGCATTAACAGGATAGTCTAAAACACAAAGTTACCAGCTCGAAAATGCTTCTGACAGTTCACTCTAATTCTAGTTCCATTCCAACCACATTTCACTAATAGCAGCAATTCGGTTAATAATGCCTTAAATTACACAAACTACACATGATTAGATTAAAAACCAACTCAATTTTAGTGCAGCAACTGCTTTCAGATTATACAATCTTGATAGGCCATTTAGCTCACAAAATGCCCTTTTCTTGCAATACAAAGATGCCTCCTGTTGTGCCCATGCTCATTAACCCACATTTAAATTCATTATCCATAAATTATATCAATGAATAATTGGTCTCATGCTTAATAAACAGCTATTAAAGACAGATTTATCCTCTCTCTGAGTTCCTGGTACAACACCATCAAAGGAAACTTGGGAGACAAAGAAAGCAGAGAAATGTAATGTCATTAAACACCAAAGAACAACAGTGTTGGTTCTGAGTGAGCTTTTAAAAACAGCCAGATAACTTCAGTATAACAGTATAACAGATAACTAACTTCAGTACAAATGAGATTGGTCAGAACACCTCAGCTTATGCAACGATTTTTTCTGAAAATGGTAAAAACTTTGCAAGCAGCAAGTTATTAAAGAAGAAAATTCCAAAGTTACACGAGACCACTAAACCTACACAACTGCACAGTGCAACTATTCAGACATGGACCACAGCAGTGGTGGTATTCTCAATTAACTTTCTTCCAGTAAAATTCTAACCTGCGATTACTCTCCGTCTTTCAAGAACTTTTTAATATTTAAACAGCCGTACACCTTGCTTGTATCTCAAAGAGCTGTTTTTAATGCGTGTTTGTAGCTCGCCTGCATCAGTGGCAGACCAGTTTGTCTAAGGAACTGAGATGCACCATGGGTTTCTCAGATTTATATTCTTTACCAGTTCTTGGTTCATATGCATCGTAACTTTGATGGGTTGCATATTAGAGTGCCCCTGACATTTTCAGTTAGATCCAGATACTCTTACCGCATATTACTGGAGCTGACAGGCTGAAATAATATTTCAGATTTCTTGATTAGACCCGAAAAGGTCAGACCAGCTCATGGTCAACAATTCACTCTCTGTGTAGTTAAATGATATGGCAAACAGTTTTATTGCCGATGTAAACACATGCAATAAATTGATTTAAAGTTCACGCTGGCCGACAGTACCTACAAAATACCTAAGGTGTCAAAAGAACAGAGACAGCTAGACAAGTCTTTCATTATTAGCTTGTCTTTTCAGCATGTTAAATACTGAGATGGCTTCTGTGGTGTAAAAGCCTGTCTCCTAGTGTTTTGATTGTCCCTTACATTACATGTTTGCTGTTCAACAGATCAGTACAAAGTGGATGACACTCGTGCATTTGATGGAACCAAGAATACCACTTCTACTGATTTAGTAACGAGCCTCCCTGCTGGGAATAAGGGCTATGCCTACATCCAAATGGCATCTCAATCAGCTCCTAGTGCACAGAACGTGGCAAATGAGTGACAGGTAGGCAACACTGTAAAGCAGAGACCAGCAGCTGCAGCACCTGGGGAATGCTCATAGCCACTCAGTGTGTACACAACTAGCTTCATGACTACAGAATGGCCAGAAGACAAGGAGAGCTCCATTCAGTAACTGGGAAAGGCCCAGATCTCATAATGCTACAGTGGATTGCTAATAGCCAAGTGTTTCATTTACTGACCGGTCAGAATATGCTTATCTAGAGTTATAGGAGCATACTGTGATGCTGTCAAAAAGTCTTTGAGAAAAGGAAGAACAAACATCAAAAAGAGAGAAGAAAACAATGCATGGCAGTGGCAATGCAGTGGCAGCTGAGGGCAGGGGGTGCTGGCTTATCAGACTATCAGGGCTTCTGCAGCTGGGTCTGATATTTCTGGTTGGGTGGGAGATATGGATTTTACTCTTCAGTAAATCATAAAGGCAAACAGTTTTCCCTTGTTCATTGCAGTCTATGATTTCACCTTGGATGTCTCTTTTTTGATTATTTGGCTGCCAGTTGCCCAGGTATCTCCATTACTGCATTAATATGTCAAATATACTAACACATACTTCAGCAGTTGGCAGATACCATAAAAAGGAAATAACTCTGTAGCAAAGTCCAATATTATTGAGCGTGCAAGTTTAAAATTAGATGCTTAATTGCATATTCAAACTCTTAAATAAGTGCCATAATTTATCTGCAGTGCTAAGAACTTCAAAAGTGTCAGACCACTTAGAGACGTGAGAAACAGAGGCTTTGTGGCCTAGCAGATGAGATGCATCTTGTCTCATGTTGCTGGTACAAGCAAGCAAGTATGAAACAAGAGTGAGCTTCAATCTGTGTATCCGGCTTTGCTTCCAGAAGCAGCCTGAAAACTGCAGAACTGAATTTGTACTTGCAAACTACATTTTAAAAGCCCATGATGTTTTCTGTGACTCTGTTCCAGTGATGTTAATGTTGCAAAATCTGCAGTGTTCATCCTGACTGGTTAACACGGTAACACAGTTAAAACAGCATATGCATCCCTTTCAAAATAAAAAGAAGGCTCACAAGTGGCAGAACTGGCAGGGAGAAAAACCCAAGGCTTGTCTCATTTCATGAAATAAAAACTATGTG